CCGGGGGGCCCGCCAGCCTGGTCCTGGGAAGAGGGGAAGGGCTGGGGGGCATCGGGTGGGTGGCTCGATCCGTGCCAGGTGCAGGGTCTGCTGGGCCTAAGGGGTCCGGGGCCGGGAGGGGGGCAGTAGAGTTTCCCTGGTGTTGGCCAGAATGGCCACCAGGGAAAGCTGGGGAGGGCTAGCCTCCCACTAGTTCGAATTAAGGGGCTACACACCCCTTAATTCGAACTAGTAAGTTCGAACTAGGCTTAATCCTCGTGGAATGAGGATAACCTAGTTCGAACTAAGCGCTCCGTTAGTTCGAATTAAATTCGAACTAACAGAGTGCTAGAGTAGCGCCTATGAAAGTTAGTTCGAACTAACGTCTGTTAGTTCGAACTAACTTTGTAGTGTAGACATACCCTATTTTCTTTGGAATGAGATGTAAATTAGGCAAAGAAGGGCTGTATATTACAAAGCACTATATTCAGGCAGGATAAAAATCATGTGGTAAAAAATCAAAATCAGATTTTTTACTTGTGTTACTTTATTTTTCCATGGCAGGTTCATAGATAATTCTAGATCAGAGGTCTGGGTGCCCACTGGGTTGGCCGCAGCAGTCCTGGGAAAGCAGAGCCACGGCAGAGCTTCGTGGTAGCAATGCCACAGCTTCCCCAGCAGCAGAACCCTGGCAACCCTGCAAAGTGGAGCCACAGCTGCCGCAGCAGCCCAAATGTCCTGAGCCCTGGTGGCCCTGGAACTGGGAAGCTGCAGTGGCGCCAGGATAATGGATCCCAGCAGCCCCAGGGAGCGGAGCACTGGAAGCCTCAGAGTCTCAGTAGCCCCAGCACCTCAGAGAGGGTATGTCTACACTACCCCGCTAGTTCGAACTAGCGGGGTAATGTAGGCATACCGCACTTGCAAATGAAGCCCGGGATTTGAATTTCCCGGGCTTCATTTTCATAAGCGGGGAGCCGCCATTTTTAAATCTCTCCTCGTTCGAACCCCGTGCCGCACGACTACACGCGGCACGAACTAGGTAGTTCAGACTAGGCTTCCTAGTCCGAACTACCATTACTCCTCGTGGAATGAGGAGTAACGGTACGAGGTGTACCGGTTTGTGGAACTAGGCTTCCTAGTTCGAACTACCTAGTTCGAACCCCGTGTAGCCGCGCTGCACGGGGTTCGAACCAGCGGGGTTTTAAAAATGGCGGCTCCCCGCTTATGCAAATGAAGCCCGGGAAATTCAAATCCCGGGCTTCATTTGCAAGTGCAGTATGCCTACATTACCCTCCTAGTTCAAACTAGGAGGGTAGTGTAGACATACCCAGACTGCAGAGCCATGATGGCCCTGGAACAGCGGAGTCACAGCAATCCCTTGGCATTGGGATCGTGGCAGCCCTGAGGCGAGTGGAGCCTGATGGCCCCAGAGCAGCACAGCTGCAGTGGCAGGGACTGGCCAGCAAAGCTGGGAGCTGGCATGGGGGCAAGCAGGCTCCATTAGGTTTACTGATGGACCCCAAGAGAGCTGAGAGTCCCATTAGCAGAGGGATGGAATTGACCACCTCTCAGGTCCCGGGGTGCTGGAACAGGGAGGTCCAAACTGTGGTGTCGTGGTACACACTGCAGCTAATATCACTAAGATGAGGAAATCTTTCCTCTTTTGTTGATTGTACACATTGACTATTAATATACATCACCACTGATTTAGGAGAATTTTAGAAATGTTGAAAATAAAAGCAAATTTATCAGCATTTCTTTCCATAGTTCAAACTTCAGTCATTAGATATGGCATATACACTGTATCACATCAATTATATGGTTTGCTTTTAAATTATCAACTTAAAACAAGTATGAAATATTTTAAATCAATGGATTTGAAAAGTATTGAGTCCTTCAGGTGAATGAAGCATATAAACAATCTTCTCTCTAAACCAATCAGAGTTCAAACAGTTAAGTAAAAGAAGAATTAAATATCACTCTGCTGCACTTGGTATTGTAATTACAGGTGGGACCTCTCTGGTCCAGCACCCTTGGGACCTGAGCAGTCCTGTACCATGGAGTTTTCCAGACCAAGGGAGGTCCAGGCGCCCCTTCCAGCTGTCGGCCCTGATCCCCACTGCCAGCCCTGGCTAGGGCTGTGCTCCTCACCACGCTGGCCCTGCTGCCACTCCCCACTGCCAGCCCATGGTGGGCTGAATTCCTGAACCTGGCTAGCTGGAGCTCTCTGGATCAACATTATCCATGGTCCAAAGATCCCCCGATTTTAGAGTTTCACTTGGTAGTTAATGTCAACATCTTTGACTGCAATGGTGACTAAGATGGTTCAAGGCTGATCACTTCCTGAAGATCTTTCTGCAAGAAGTGGTATTGGTGATAGAGGCGACGTCTAGACTGCAGAGCCTTTCAGCTATGCTGCGTCCAAGGAACGCATCTACTTTTTCGGAACAATTTCCGAAAAAGCAGATCTGTTCTTTCCTCAACCCTGTAATCCTTATTCTATAAGGAAGAAGGGATGTGCTAAAAGAGAAGGTTCTTCCAAAATTTGGCACCATGTAGATGGGCCAAATTTTGGAAAAGCCTCTTTCGAAAGAAAAGTGGAAAAAGATACGCAAATTGTAGTTTACAATTTGCGTATCTTTTTCTGACTTTTGTTTGCAGTGTAGACCTAGCCTTATAAAGGTTGTATGTTTTCTTCTCAATCAGCATTCTGCTAATTATCTAGAAGCACAGTCTTTCAGAAGATACTTCAAAGTGAGGTCCTGTTCATCTGTGATCAAAGATCTCCTAGCACTTTTTGTAAAGGATGTACCTCAGCGCTGACCAAATACAGGTTGATAAACAACACACTTTTTTAGTCTGAAATATTTATTTTTCATGATAGAGGACTTCTACAATGAAACCAGATCTGATAGCCCATCAGTTAAATTAAGTCCAATGGAGGAGTCCATCCATAACAAGAAATACAAATTACAAGTAAGGAAATATTTTTGATAAAAAGGATAGTTACAAAATTAGATGTAAAAATATCTGGTATTTTATTTTTAATTAAATAATGCTGTATCATATGATTTAATTAGCAGGATACATGGATATTTTTTGTAAATTGTTCAAATAGCTATAATAGTAATTTATGAACTGTATCGGCACTCAATATTTTGAAATTCAGAATTTTTTAGTTGAGCTTACCTGAAGTAAGGCAATAAAAAGAAAAAATGAATTAGCAGCTCTTCTGAACTGGGAATAGAGAAACCTTGGCAGGAATGTAATTATGTTGTATTTTGCAGTGCTAAAAAACAAAGACAAAAACATGTACAATCATTATAGTACCAGCAAGTTTTACACACATGCTTTCCTTATTACTCCTTGTAGTTCAAGCCCGGTGCTTCTTGTCCTATTCTCAGAGGCTAAGGAGAACAAATTTTCTCCCTCCTCCTTGTGACACCCTTTCAGATATCTGAAAAGCACTATCATGTTCCCTCTCAGTCTTCTCCTTTCCAAACTAAACAAGCCCAATTTCTCCACATCTTTCTTGAAATGTGGTACCCAGAACTGGACACAATACTCCAATTGAGGCCTGATCAGTGCAGAGTAGAGCAGAAAAATGGCTCCTCGTGTCATGCTCGCAACATTCCTGTTAATGTATCGCAGAATCATGTTTGCTTTTTTTGCAACAGTATCACACTGTTGACTCATATTTATCTTGTGGTCCACTATAATCCCTCGATCCCTTCCTGCAGTACTCCTTCCTAGACAGTCACTTCGCATTCTGTATGTATGAGACTGATTGTTCCTTCCTAAGTGGAGTACTTTGCATTTGTCCTTACTAAACTTCATCCTATTTATCTCAGACCATTTCTCCAGTTTGTCCAGATCATTTTGAATTATGACCCTATCCTCCAAAGCAGTTGCAGTCCCTCCCAGCTTGGTATCATCTGCAAACTTAATAATCGTATTCTCTATGCCAGTATCTAAATCGTTGATGAAGATATTGAACAAAACAGACCCCTGTGAAACCCCATTTGTTATACCCTTCCATCAGGATTGTGAACCATTAATAATTACAGTCTGAAAATGGCTATTCAGCCATTTATGCACACACCTTATAGTAGCCCCATCTAAGTTGTCTTTGCTTAGTTTATTGATAAGATGATCATGCGAGACCATACCAAATGCCTTACTGAAGTGTAGGTATACCAGATCCACCACTTCTCCCTTATCCACAAGACTCATTATCCTATCAAAGAAAGCGACACCAGGTAGGTGAGATAGTATTTTCATTAGACCAATGTCTCAGGGTAAAAGAGACAAGCTTTCAAGGAATACAGAACTCTTCCTCACACACATAGTACCATTTGAAGATTATCTATGTGTACCAAAGTAGCAGGAGGAACCATTTCAAAAGTAATACTGATAAAGAGCTCTGTGTAGCTCAGGCCTGCACAACATACGGCCTGCAGGGCTCACTGTGCAGCCTGTGCCGACTACCGGCAGCGCGGCCCCATCCAATCTGCTAGCCGGGAGGAGGAGCGGAGCACCACCGGGGAGGGGCAGGGCTCACTGTGCAGCCTGTGCCGACTACCGGCAGCGCGGCCCCATCCAATCTGCTAGCCGGGAGGAGGAGCGGAGCACCACCGGGGAGGGGGAAGTGCAGCGATTCTCACTGCCAAGCTGCCTGCATGCAGCTCCGGCGCAAGGAGGCGGAGTGCAAGCCGGAGAGCAGGACGCCAGGAGACGCCAGGACGCTGGCGTGACGTGGTGTCGTGATGTCATGGCCGGCGACTGCCAGATTCAAAAAGGCTTCGGCAGCCCCGCAACCTGGAAAGCAGAAGCAGAAGCCAGGTAGAAGAGGGGAAGGAGTCTGTGCTGAGGGGAAGGGGGCAGGTCAAGAGAAAGGGGAAGGCATCAAGGGGCAGGGAGCAAGAGAGACAAATGCCAGAGGGCCAAGTGGAGACATACATGGTGGTTTTTTTTGCTCGACAAAAATTTTTAGCCCGCATGTTCAGTATTTTTTGGGAGAGCATCCCTACTTGCAGCCCACTTGGTGTAGCTTCAAAGCATGCGTCTCTCACTTACAGAAGTTGATCCAATAAAATATGCTACCTCACCCACTTCTCTTCTCAAGCATCAGACAACTTCATTAGTAAGCTAGCACATAATACCATTTCAAACTTATCTATATAGTTTCATATTATCTGTTATTTTGAACTGGAAATATGTACTTTAAGGCTATCACAAGGAAAAATATGGTGTGTGTCTGACTAAAAGTTGCCTCAACAATCAATTGAATACTATTTAAATTTCAGCTGTGCCTATATACTCCTAATAACTAAACTAAGAAATATTCATGCCAGCTTGTTTGTAGACTTTTGTTTGATCTGTAGGATTACACCACTAAGGCACAAACTATTTAAAAAATTCAAGAAACCAAAACACAAATGTGTTCTAATGCTAACTTATGGAGATGGCTACATTTTTGCTTGTTTTTAAAGTTCAAGATAAATATTTAAGGAATTCTTATGACAGAATAACTGTTCTACCTTAAGACTTTATGTCCTGTGCAGAACATTACAAATGGATTATACTCCAGAAATAGGCAACTATATTTCCCTATGCTGAATACGGGACACCCAGTAAAACTGCTCATGTGCAAGAAGTTCAACAGCCATCAATCAGAACCCTGCAGCACAAAAATTCAAATAACATTGATATGACTGACCCAGTAAAAAAGAATAACAACATAAATCAGCCACCTCATACTTTATGAAAAATGGCTTATAAATATGAATGTGCATAACTCAAAGATGCTTTAGGCAAAATGTATCAAGTGACGTGTTACTTTTAGAGTTACAATCTACTGAATGTGTATATTCTATTTTCATGCATGTATCACTCCTGAATATGAAATTAGAAATACAGGCTACGTCTACACTGGCCCCTTTTCCGGAAGGGGCATGTAAATTTCACTAGTCGTCGTAGGGAAATCCGCGGGGGATTTAAATATCCCCCACGGCATTTAAATAAAAATGTCCGCCGCTTTTTTCCAGCTTTTAAAAAAGCCGGAAAAGAGCGTCTACACTGGCCCCGATCCTCCGGAAAAAGTGCCCTTTTCCGGAGGGTCTTATTCCTACTTCAAAGTAGGAAAGGGCACTTTTTCCGGAGGATCGGGGCCAGTGTAGACGCTCTTTTCCGGCTTTTTTAAAAGCCGGAAAAAAGCGGCGGACATTTTTATTTAAATGCCGCGGGGGATATTTAAATCCCCCGCGGATTTCCCTACGACGACTAGTGAAATTTACATGCCCCTTCCGGAAAAGGGGCCAGTGTAGACGTAGCCACAAAGTATGGATCTGTTTATAATTCTAGATGTGCTAATGAGAGCCGAAGACGTAATGACTCCCATGCTCAAGACAGTGATCTGTAAAAGGCTTCATTTTTTCTGTAAGCCTAAACGGTTTGGTGGTTGATTCCAGAAGTCATGTAGTCAACCCAACTGATTTTGGAAGCCATTTTAGATCTGGTACTTTTCCACACAAGATGATAAAAATTTGAACACAAAGAATTCCCACTTTGGGAAAAAGGGATATAAAGGTGGGAAACCAAACAATAGAGGAGTTGTCAGAAACTCCTCCGCCCCCCAAGATGCCCACTGGAAACATCTAAGGGTGCATCTACACTGCACCATTATTCCGGAATAGCATCTATACAGCAATTGCGTTTTTGGAAGAAAAAAAAAAAGGAAATAACGGAGAGCTTTTTCCAACATTGGTGAACCTCAGTCCATGAGGAATAATACCTCTTCCGCTATGTTGAAATAGCTCCTCACCAGGGCCATTCTAAGTTATTTTTCCCCAGTGCCTCCTGGGACTCTAAATCGAGATAGCGCATCCACATTAGGGGAGCCTGCCTTGGACTAATTTTGTGGCTTCTCTGTAGTGTGGACACTCTATTTTGAAATAAGCTATTCCAAAAGATATCTTTGGGTATGTCTACACTACAGAACTAATTCGAACTAATTTAGTTCGAATTAGTTAATTCGAACTAAGCTAATTCGAATTAGCTCATCTAGACGTAAAAACTAGTTTGAATTAGCATTTTGCTAATTCGAACTAGCATGTCCACACTGAGTGGACCCTGAACCGAGGTTAAGGATGCCCGGAAGCAGTGCCGGCAGGGCATCATATTAGGACTTAAGAGTGTGGAGCTGCTGTCTCAGGCTAGCCGAGGGCTGTGCTTAAAGGGACCTGACACCCACCCCGGACAGACAGTTCTCAGGGGTTCCCCGCTTGCAAAGCAGTCCTGGCTTGGAGTGCCCTGAGTGCCCACACTCGGCACATCACAGCACTCGGCCATCAGCATGGCTACACTTGCCACAGGCTGCCATCCGGAGGGGGGGTCAATCAAGGGGCTTCAGGAGAGCTTCCACCCTGAGGAGCCCGCAGA